ACAGGTGATACATCTGTTCTGTAGGCGACATGTCCTTTGACACCGACAATTAAGTTCTGGATAGCATCTTCGCGCATGTTCGGAGGGGGAAACCGCTACGCTTCGACCGCTTGGGCTCGTTATCCCCGCACATGCCAAGGTCGTAGCGTAGCGTGAATGTACGATGTCTTTTTAAAGCAGCTCGCAATTGATCCATTTCACAGCTTCATTTCACGGCCACCAAGGTTGATTGATTGTTGGTTGATTCATGCACTGCCAATGTCTACTGTGGAGACTCTTGTAAATCTATGCAATAACACGACAAAGGTCCACATTCCTCACAAAGATCGGTCATGCGACTGAAGAACACTAGTTAAAGAAGCTGTCGAAGAGGAAAAGGTCACCCCTCTTCCTCAAGCCAAACAGCGCTACTAAAAAAGCCATCCGGGTCAGAGAATTCTAACAATTGAACGTAAGACATGAAATCGATGAGGTGGCAGAAGGAGCGCACCCAGGCCAGGCGAAGCAGACTGGTAAGTTCCAGCAGCGGTGAACGAAGTGCTCAACGAAGTACCAGTAAAAGCCGTGACCACTTTTAATTTAGACACTTCTGTTTTATTCATAAGTTATCTACGGTAACCAGACCTACTTCTAAAGACAACGTCGTGTGGTTTTACAAGACGTGCGAAACCCCTTCTCTGCACAAGGCGGCGCAGCCGTAGCAATTTTCGGAATCATTTTCACCAGCTCGAAAGTACTTGGTTGAAACTAAGTAACTTTCGTGTTTTATTCAACGAAATTTCGTTCAAAGTGAAAATTGTTTTCTTAGCAAGCTTGATATCATCTGATAGGAAACTTCACGTAGTTTTAGAATATCAAAACGGCTTCGGTTGAGGGAATAATTTTGTGGATTTTTTAGTCGTTGAAGTTGAAAGCGAAGTCGGCGAAAATTAGCACCTTCGACAACTGCCTCTATTTACGTATAGTCGAAGTGCTAAAATCGCTTAAGCTGCTCCATACATTTGGAAAAGGTCGAGCTAGAAGTTCCAGCAAGGGAATCTCACTAGGACGCTTTGGAACGAATTTCAAGAATTTTGAAGTTACCAACCTTTCACCATCGGGTCGATATTGGGTAGCTCACGTCTGTTCCACCTGAAATTTTATGCTAATATTTGAATGTTTCGCTGATATGTTTTGCATGTTCTGATAGCAAATTTCATGCTCTATAACACTGCTATAGAAATTCTGTTTCTCCAGAGGTGTTTGCTTTCTGTTAAGTTCAGGTTATCATTACGGAACGCGAAGTCGTTGAGAACTAACGTTCCCGTTCTCCACGAATTTTATGCTAACATTTAATGTTTCGCTAATGTGTTCCATATTTTCTGATAGCCAATTCGTGCTCTTCACACTGCAGTTGCAGATTATTGTGTGAAAAATCCCGTTTGATCCGTTGTTTTTCAGGTGATAATGTGAAGTGTCAGGACGAATAAATAAGCATCAGCACTTCAGACATCTCCTCCTTTTCGCATTCAACAGAGGTATCAGTACCATTCTTGAAGCGTCTGAACCAATTTTGGGCTGTTTTGAGAGAGAGGCATCTTCTCCGTACACTTCGCGAATTTCCCGAGCAGCATCAGCAGCTCTGATACCTCTGCTTGAATGCGAAGAAGGCAGGAGAATGTCTGAAAGGTGCTGATACTATCCAACCTGACATTCCATATTATCCAGCCTGAAAACCAGAAAGGCCCCCAAGGTTCAAACGGATTTTCAAAATAACTGCAATGCAGTGTTATAGAGCACGAAATTGGCTATCAGAACATATAGAACACATTAGCGAAACATTCAAATGTTAGCATAAAATTCGTGGAGAACGGGAACGCTAGTTCTCAACGACTTCGCGTTCCGTAATGATAACCTGAACTTAACAGAAAGCAAACACCTCTGGAGAACAGATTTCTATAGCAGTGTTATAGAGCACGAAATTTGCTATCAGAACATGCAAAACATATCAGCGAAACATTCAAATATTAGCATAAAATTTCAGGTGGAACAGACGTGAGCTGCCCAATATCGGCGAGGTGAAGGTTGGTAACTTCAAAATTCTTGAAATTCGTTCCAAAGCGTCCTAGTGAGATTCCCTTGCTGGAACTTCTAGCTCGACCTTTTCCAAATGTATGGAGCAGCTTAAGCGATTTTAGCACTTCGACTATACGTAAATAGAGGCAGTTGTCGAAGGTGCTAATTTTCGCCGTTTTCGTTTTCAACTTCAACGACTAAAAAATCCACAAAAATTATTCCCTCAACCGAAGCCGTTTTGATATTCTAAAAACTAGGTGATAGTTTCTATCAGATGAATATCAAGCCTTGCTAAACGAAACATTTTACTCGTTTTGAACGAAAATTGTCCCGGTTGAAAAAAGAAACGAAAGTACTGTATGTGCCAACCCAATAAACTTGGTTGGAACACTAGGCAGGTCTGGCAGAAATCAGTTAATTCAATTCAATGAAGAGCGATCCTGTTCTCGAATGTTGCCCATGGTCACTCATCTAAGCCCACCACATCTCGGGATATAGATGTCGTTTGCTACGATTTCTGGTTTGTTGATCGTCTCTCCGTGTTAGGGCCGCTCAAACTGTCCTCAACCACCACAACGATATATCTGGAATGTCTGAAAGAACCCAAACTGCCCTTCTTCGGATTCAACAAAGCAGACCAGATGTGCTGCTAATTTCACCAGAGGTACTGACGTCGTTATTCTTAATGTGCATGGTCTCAAATTACGCCGCGACGCCCTATGCATATTTCTTCTACATACATCATTCAGCTGCATAACCATAAGATTAAACAGTGAGTGTCAATCAATCCCCTTTTTTAGATGAGGCACAGCATCGTCATTGAGAGCTGATGTGGTCAATCAATAGATGCTACCAAGAAATATTGAGGAATCGCCTGTAAATTTCTACGATCCGGCGCGAATCCGGCGCCAAAGCCATAGAAATACTTAGAATAAACGAGTGGGACGCTTGGATTGTTTTTATTCTCATGTTTTCTGGGAATGCGCGGCCTCTGATGGATTCTGCGGATGCAGCCGAGTTGCTCTTGAGTTCTGGCCCTTGTCATCATCTTCTGTTCTTATTTTGTAGCACCTCCAATGTTATCCGCATCAGGAAATTGCGTTTTACTCGTATTTGAGAGCGCAATTAAAGGACTTGGCAAAGTGCCAAGGAGCCGCACGCGACACGCGCGCTTGCAACCTGCGCGCAAAAGATGTAGGCGGAGCATGGAGGAACTAGCGTGTTTCACGGTCCTGTATCTCCATTCCTGGGCATGTTTGGGCGGGGGGACCACGACACATCGACAGCTGGGGGGCTGATAGTCTCATACACCCTCAATGTGTTTGAGCGTACCATGTGTCTTTAAGAAACGGTCCGCGATAACCTATTGAAAATGTAAGAGGCTATGTGGGAAGATAGTGGCGACGCGGGGTGACAACTATGTTACGCGGCGGAAGTTGTACGATAAAAGGAATTATGGGCACAAAGGTCGCGTGTCAGTGGTACATCCCTTTTCCAGTGACTCCCCGCCTTCCAGAACTGCGCCTCCAATCGGCCCTTCCAGCCAAAAGTTATGCTCTTGGGCAAATATCATGGAGTTTGTGCATTCAGCTTCTCTTGTAGAGTCATAAGGTTCATTACTGGGAATCAGCCGACGGGAATCGTCCTAGCGCGCGGTCTTTTCGGTCTTTTACCTACGAAGGCGTTTCCAACGTTCCGCTTATTGACATTTTCTCTTCATAGATGGTTCACTAGGCAAATTTTCTTTCACGTTTCTGCAAAATCACACTCCCTAAGGCTTTCTATCGCGGACCGTGCCTTTAAACACCTCCAATCCCACTATTTTGAACTTGGAAATGTGCTTCACGCTGCGATCGCCACAATTTTATGATTTTCAATTGTAAGAAACCACTCAAAAATATATTGAGGAAACGTACTCACCTCATAGATCACAATCTTATAAATGCTTTGTTCGATGCCTTCATGGGGCCATGTGTAACCGATGACGATCGAAACGGCTCCGCCAATCAGAAGAAGTAGTCCTAATACGGTGCAAAGGCGGCAGATGAAAAGTCCACGTCGTTGAGCAGGTGGTGGAGGAAGAAGATACCTATAATAGGGAAATATCGACTTGAAAAATGCCTACTTCGGTCTGTTAGTAGTTGTGGGGTAAAAGAATCGTTATGAAGGACTGTATGAAGATTTCTATTTCGATGGTCTGTTTTTTTATTTCTCTGGTATTAGAATTCCAGAGGCTGGGGTCAGTCAAAGAGGTCTATATGTTGCAAGGACGCTTTCGCCGGCTCATCACAGCGCAATATTAGCGCGCTTGGCGGGCAGATATTCAATGATTTTTATATCTTGTAGTTTCCCGGGTGGTCTCGCATTGTGAGTGCACTAACGCAGTCGTATCAGTTATGAGGGCCATCTGGTCATCGTGAGGTTCATCTTTTTACGCTTTTTGGCCGCTTTCGATGTACGAGCCCGAATGGGTCGCATGCCAGTATCAAGCCACTCTCAGACCGCTCACAAATATAAGGGAACGGGGGCTGGAGGGTAGCAATGCCCCGGTAGCGCCTCAATATTCCGCACGCGCTATCCACATTGCGCAACAGTTGCGTTGAAGCAAGATAACGCAGAGAAACATGCACTCAGCGGTAAAAAACAACAGAAAAGAAGGGCGCAGGCACGTTGTGAGTCTAGCTAAGGCTAGGCCTGACTGGGTGGACCATGGACATTTTACGTGAGTATCACTGCCCTCCGGCCCTTTCACGTGTACTTTTGAGCAGAGAAAGTGTCACATTACTGCAGCTTTGGACTCAATCACCCCACACATAACAAGGACCAGGATCCGTGTAGGTGAGTGTATTCGTCTTTAATAATTTACCCTGGGATCTGAGAGCCCCGTAGCTGTGGTAGAGCATCACTGACCGCAGAGGATACCAGTATATGCCCTCCATTTCAAACGGCGTTAGCTCAGGTTTTACTGATTGGTCTGCTCTTCCGTCATCTCCTAGATAGCATTACCCTCGAATCGCAAGCTGTGTAGGATGAGGTCAACAATGGGCTCACTTTACTCTCCGCGAAACTCGGTAGCTTGGTGCTTCTTACGTTCAGCACAAGACCATTTTTGTTGTCTCCTGCCCTTTTCGTACCTTCTCTACGTTCTGCACTACTACCTGCCAAGAGTATGGTGTCGACATTGCATAGAATGGTCCCCGGGGCTGGTTCATTTTTAAAACTGCATCCAAACAAGCAGAAAGCAGGCGTTCAGAGATGAACTCTGATCCAACTGTGTCAGCAACCTGCTCTGAACAGTCATGCAAAATGATATGACTGCATGATTATGACGTGATCTCAGTTTCATGACACGGGTGAACAGGTGTGGAACGTTCCATTATAAGATCGCCGTCCCAAAGTTTAGGAGGGCGAAGTATAGGTTGCTTCTCTCTCGCTTCTTCGCTTTTTTCCCTGAGTGCGAAGAAAGCATCCCTAACGGACGTTCTGGACATGAAGCAAACTACTCTTCCAATACTGGGACAAATTCCTCCTGCGTTGAGTCGTCCAACCGCAGAGCCTCTTGATGTGAGCAACCACCTCGTTTCCGTTGCAAATGGAAGTATTAGATAGTTGTGCTTCCATTCACAGGGAGACGGGCAAGAGAATCGTAATTTGCCGCTCCGCCGCGCGCGGTGAAGGGCGCGGCACTTCATGTAGACCGCGTCTTTGTGGACATTCATGACTATTTTTGCTTCTGAATTGCCTGTTGTTGCCATCTACGACCTGGAACCATCGTCATTTGCGGGCGCGACGTCGCACGCGACGCCCATGAGCGCGGCTTACGATTCTCTGTCACATACCCCATTCACACGGTTATATAGGGTGTCATGGGTGGATAGGCGAGCCAGGCAACGCTTGTTTGTCAGATGGCATAGGAAATAGCGAACCATCATAATTAGCATGCAAAGTTTACCAGTCACTTGATCTCGTTGCGTTACTTCACAGCAGCGACATTCAATAATATAAAAAAGGCAAGAAAATAGAGTTGACCACTTACCATGCTCCACCTTGTTCCATTTCCTCTACAGTTGGAGATAAGTAGAAATTGTGCAGATAGCTACGTATGCCGAACCCGCGGGGCGCCGACACCTGTCAATATTCGAATAAATTATTCGTTTTGTAGGAATACTAAACTATAAATCAAACGACTGGAGTAGAACAGGTAGGGTACAAGTCTTTTGGCTGAATTGTATAGTCGCATAAATTCCCTTATGAGGCAGAGCAAACAAGGTAGAACATATGGCTTGCCGAAACATGTGCAAAATTTATTTTGACGCAAGCCCGTTGCAGTTCACTGAAAGGCCACCTTCTACTAACTGGGATTGGGAGGCAAGGATTCTTGCCAAAGCGAGGTAAAGGAGCTCTAGGATGGGTGAGCGAAATTCGAGTTGGTACTGATTCCATTCACATCACCGGTAATCCCAGTTTACCGCAAGGTTCTCCTCCCCCCCCCCACCTAGATGAGGGTTCGTGACGACCCACCCCCTTCCCCAGCACCTACCCACCAATATTCCCACCACATTTTCCAGTTTTTCATCCAAAATTCTCCGTCGAGCGGGGGGTATATAGTAGAGACAATGTGAAACGGGAGAATTTCCCCAACTTCCCATCCTTTTTTCTGGATCCCCAAAAACTTTCCTACTTTTCCACAAGACGCCCATGTCTTCCAACGATTAAATACCACACCCTTGCCCAGAGAAAAAGTACGACTCCCGTATTGTTCCACACAACGATGCTGCACCCTGTGCGGGCATGGTCAAGAACTTTTCCTGCAAATGCGAGCGGTTTCTCGGAGAGAGTTCAAAGGAGAACCGTTCCAGGAATGAGATGAGTATCAAATATAAAGCGACGATTTGACCAAAATCTCGCATTTATCACAAACCTCATCGACGAGAGCGGTCGGCTTCGTCCCAGGCGGCGAAAGCTTCTCTTTCTTGCCGCCACAACCCAATCGGAAGCCCGTCATACGCACATCCGAAGAGATACAGTGACCTGTAAAACGACTGAGATCATTAGCCGCCGTTTGTGATGCAGCGATTGCTCGCACGTTTAATGAAACGATGACAGAACGGAAACATCGGCAGAATTATTCATAGGGGTCCAAAGAAGCACTAGTTTCATACGAAAAGGGAACCGAAGTACAAGAATGACGTTACAATGAAAATGATCAAAAAGATTCTGAATAGAACGACAAGCACAAGAGCTCTGATTGAAAAGAAACGGGGAGAATAATATGCGTTTTTCTACGAAGATGCAAAATGTGTTGAAAACAGTGAAGCGGGCGAAGGCGCAAAGAGTCTATGAATGCATGGGCCGCGTCCATACATCGCAACCCGAACAACTCTGTCTGGCGACTGCTACAAAGCGCGCTACACTGCAGTCGTTGGACCGTCGCAGACCTTTGAACATGTAACAGTGCAAACCCCCTGCGTACAATCAAATTAGCAGTTGCTGGGGTTCAACAACTAGCGGTGGAGCACGGTCAGTCGCAGTCGGGACAGTATACACATCTTTGTGTCGGACGGGCGCATTGGTCATTGGTTGCTCTAGGCCATATAGGCTTTGAAAGAAATTTTTCGAGCAGCGAAAGTTTTTTTAGTTGTTGACTTTCCTCGATCTTCCCTGTGGGCTAGCACGCTAGTGGGTGACGGTTCTCCTTCCCCTTTCGACACCATTTTTTTCAAAGCTAGTGCAACACACCTCTCCCCCCTAGCTGAGGCCGCCGGACCACTATACAACCTCTATTTCTAATTGTTGATTTTATGGTTTTTGGTAGGAAGCTGTTTGTTGCGGACCCTCCTCTCGTTCTCTCCGCCTCCCTCCGATTCCTATTTATGCTGTATACATTCTCCCCCCCACCCCGACGGCAGTTTTTTGGAACAAACTGGCAAACTAGAAAAGATTCTGGAATTGGGAAAATCTGTTAGGAGCCGAGAGAATTTGAGAAGATGATGGGTAATATGATGGGGAAAAAAGAGAGCGGCTCTCACAGCAGTAAGAGCAAGTTTGGAAGGAGGGGGTGCGTACTGACGCCTGCATCAAACCCTTCTCGATGTTGTTTCTCGTAGTGTTAGGGAGGAAACTTCATTTTTTGGGCGATTCCTGAATGGATCAGCTGGAGGGAAGGAAAGGAGCTAAGGAGCTACTGCAAGTAATCCAATAGCTAGAAAAATGCGATCCCAGCACTTGCTCTTCTATGGGGCCCTCCTGTTTATGTGGTGTTGAGGGGAGTGAAGGTTTTTATCAAGTGTGCATCCTCTATCTTCCGGGACCTTTCCTCAGGGTTAAGACGCATCTTCGCATTGAGAGCCGTGAATGTTTTTCTCGCTCCCTGTAGCGTGTTTTTGCTTGTTCTCATCTGCGTTATACTGTTCATAGAATAAGCGGTGCTTGAAAACAATTTAGAATACCAGAATATGCAAAAAAGGCGAAAAACTGTCGCTATGTCTGGAAAAATCTCGCACGCGCTGTTGGGCCTTCCTCTGCAACCTCTCAAACGAACGCGTTTTGATCAGCCAGAAAAGTGATATATTCTGTTCATGCGCATGTACGGTAGGTCCTCTCATGTGAACATATTTTTTAACTCGGAACAACTGGAAATAAGTCCACTTCCAGTCCCACGGCGATTCTCATTCCAGCCCTCATCTATTCGCTGTTTGCATCGCGGACAGCCTGAGGGTGCTCAGTTAGTTGATTGGCATTCCGTGGTTGAGATTAACAAAATCAGGCCGCTGTCTAGCCGTTGCATCAACGAAGAGGATTCAAAACTGCTGCGGGTGTTCAATAAAGCCGTTTTTCTCTATTCTAAAGAAAGTGGAAAAAAAGATTGGAATTTAAGAAAAAAGACGGGCATGTTGACTTAAAGCGGAAACTAATTAAGCTGATTGAACCAAGGAATCGAGCAAAGAGTATATTCTTGGGCTAATAGCAAGACAGGGTCCTATCGGTGTGATCTACATATGTATGGAAGATTCTCACGCATTATGCAACTCATATTGTCTGTGTTGGTTGGGCTGAGGTATGAAAAAAACAACTCTCTCAATAGGTAAAATCTCACTTTTAGATGGAAAGGCTCTTCGCTACTTTATGCTAATGGAAGCCCGTTCTGAATTGCGATTCACAGATATATTCCGTCAGCTTCGATTTATTCTTATTTTCGGAAGCAACCTTGTCTACTCAGCGGTTTGTTACTGTTCACTGTTACTTGCTTTTATAGTTATCTGGGTTATTTCCTTTCCATTTGTCAGGTTAAATGGGAATCCGGTGTTTCAAAACGTGACGACTAACGAAGTCACGAACGCTGCTATATTTGCTAAGGGACCGACAGCAAGGTGAGCCCTGAACCTCATGTGATTTTGAGATAACCGCTGAACCAGGGATTATCTACTAGACGGTCATGCGGTCACCACGGCGACCACCAACTGAATAGTGATACTCCGTTGGAATGTGCACGAAACCATTTGAAGGCCCCGTATTCGTCGAGTAAGAGAATCCATTTGACTAGTCTGGCTCCCAACGGGAAGGAATGGGAGCGGTGCTGGCACTCGGTCAAGCAAGTCAAGGCGATGACGCGTGATACCATCATAAACCTTACAAACGAAAGGAAGTATGAAGGGGCATGGAGTGGAGTGCTGCCAAGGGCTGTTCCGGCTGTGATCGAACCCACACTCCTTCAAACGCCTTACTGCTTGCAGGGATTGTGACTATACAGGCGATCTCGGTCATTGAGCCACTCAGTGAAATGGGCACTCATCAAATGAATGAAAATGTTACTCAATATTTCATCTCTGACTGCAGAGCGATTTCTCTTTATCACGGAGCATCTAATCTCCGCCATAACTCCAACCATAAGGACAACTAGTAGCGAGCGTTACAATCAGAATGTCGCTCGTTCTTAACCCATTCGCGATCAGGCGCGTTTTTCGAAAACGGCTCGTTCGGACCGGAGCATTTGCGAGCTCTCAGCAAGTGTTCCCTCGTGACCCCTTACTAACAATTTTTAGCACTATACGAAAGTTATCACAAGAATGCTGAGTTGTGGTTGAATGCTGAGTTCAAATAGCCATTGAGCTGAGAGGTCAGAGGTGGCCCCGGTAGCGTAAGTGGTAACGCAACTGCCCGGTAAGCAGAAGTTGCGGGTTCGAGTCCCGCCCCTGGTCCGACTTTTGCTCCCACAACTCAGCATATTTTGTTGATAACTTTCAGAATCGCGCACTGGCGGCGCTAAAGCCAGCAGTCTATCAAAACGATTTTTAGCACTCGTTCAACTTTTCTGCCCCCGAATACCCACCCTGCCTGTTTTACTGAAACCAATCCAAGTGCAGGGTCATTCCATGTCACAAAAATGACATTTCTGTCCGCTCCTCGCGGAGAGAAAAGTTGGTAGAAAGTTGGTGGTTGCGCATTGTCTGAGGCGAGAAATAGTGACACTGCCTAATAGCTTTTTCACGCGCGCGCTATTCCGGCGCTAGGACCCTGACCTCGCACTCGCGCCCTGTCACCTTTTTTTCGCTGAACAGTCGCCACTGGTTCTGCACTCTCCGAGCACCTTAGGGAGGCGGCCGGAAGCCCGATCACAAATAAGACACTGGATCCTTACCGTTGCTCAGAGCGCACCAGTGTCCATGAAGCGCCATGTAACCGCCTCTGAAAAGGCTGTAGCCGTACCGCAGAGGAGAAGTGATTCCTCTTCCTAAGGCCAAGCTCAGCGCCCAGCATTGCGCACTGATAACACCTTGTGCCCTACGCTAACGTTCCTGCTAAAAATGAATGTCATATCAATAATAAGGACAGCGAATAACCCTAGTATCCAAGTTCCATCAATTTGGGTGGAAGAGGTGATAGCACCAAGTTGGCGCTCATTGGCCACCAGCTTGCTCGGCGACTGTATGTGAAACGTCATATTCGTGATCAGACCAACAAGAAAGCCCGAGTATGTAACCTTTTCCAAGATTTGTGAAAAACCCCCGTGTGCAGGATGCGGCAGCCACCTTTGCGCGCCGCCGTTTTTGGTCATTTGAAACAAGCTCGGTTTGGCGCCAAATTGGCGCCTGAATCCGTACAAATGGCGTCAAACACCCCGCTGCCAGAAATGCGAGCGACACATTCCGCTGATCGGTTGCCAGTGAGTAAACCCCTACCGGCAATTTTTCAGCAGAGATTTTTCAGAGGTTTTCCGCGATCCACCGCTGCTATGTAGCACACTCTCCCTCTGGACTCACTCTGAAGCATCTCATTGGTCCACTATCTCGCATAGATTAACACAACGCGTAGCGCAAGACTCGGCCAGCCACTGAGAAAAGTTCCTCGAAGAACTCGAACTGTTTCTAAAAATCTTCAGCACACCACACTCTCACTATGGTGGACATAGGTCTAAAGGCGGACCATTTCGGTTCCACACCAGTGGCGGACATTGTCACGAAATGGCGTAACATGTAACATTTATTATTATTTAACAGGGAATCTAAAGTTTAACCATGGCGAAACGGACAGATCTTTATTAGAATGGCCGCGCTGTTTGCCCTTAGACGGCGGCTCGATAAACAAAGACGTTCTCTGAAATGACGGCCAATGCTCGTGCACTAGGCTTACGATACCAGTTTTGTTCCTCTCCTCTCACTCCTGCCTTAGCACCATCAGCATAAGGACAATATGGCTTACAATGGGCGCCTTTCCTACGCGCTCGAATTAGAAGAACACGCCATACAAGTGGTCCTCATCATATGATTTCGTGCTGTTTTGGTACACCCTCTACGCTTGACGAAGATGTATCATACACTTTCATCCCCACACTTCGGCGAGCAACAGCTTACGACTCTCACTCGCCAGGCTCGCTGAGACGGTAGGTGGACGAGGCGTCCGGTCCCGAGCTGCTTCCGTCCCTTTAACGCCCGCGCGGCGCGTCTCGTGCGCGGCCCTTCTGGCACTTAAAGTTGGTTTATAGCTGCTGGAAGTGCAAATTCTTAG